AATGCCAATGTAGTTAGAGATCATTATCATTTTTTTGTCTGCTGTGGAATAAACACGGAAGTGATTTAAGCTTTAAGAAATTCTTAATATTACCAGAATGATTAATATATATAAATATATGTCATCTCAATCCATAGTAGCTTTTGCAGTCATTACATCTGTTCTCATGAACTTTTGATTTGCTCCAATTAGTTTAGGACTTGACAGTCTTCACTTTGGCATTAATTTTCTTATTTGCTAATATGTTGATCTGGAAAATTTGGAGTTCACCAGTGAACAGTAGCACTGTTGTTATTGTTTATAATTTTCAACCTCACTTTATATTTGGATTTGCAGAATCCCAGCAGACCTATCTATATAGTTTTTAAAACAATAATTTATCAGAGACATTTTGAACTCTGTTTAAATGAAAGGTTTTAATATGTAGTTTAATTTAGAGGTATATGTATTATTCAATGTGGTGAAAAAAATCTAGTTACTATGCTGTGTTCAGATTTCTATTGCTTAGAACTATGGTGGTGAGAAGCATTAAAACTATATAGGCCATTTAATATTCCTAAAAGATGTATACAAGTTTGTTAAATATGAAGTCATTGTCCAAAAAGCATTTTCATCTTTTTATGTAGAAAAACCTCCGTGTTAAGTACTTTTAAAATCCTGGGGACAATTGTGTATATGTTACTTCAGAAAAAAAGTAGTTATTTTTCACAAAATTTGAATGTCATTTTCATGAAGACCAACCTTGAAACTTCGTATTTTCTTGATGCTATAAAGTTATTTTTTTCCCTATAAAATTAAGCTACATGACTGGGAAGCATTTAAATTTAAGATATATTATATGCAAATAGACACTTAAAGAGTTGCTTTTAAGGCTGTTAATAGTTGAATATTTAACTAACTGCTACCACAATAAATATTGACATACCTATTTGGTTAAGAGTATAAAATAATGTGTTAATTATGCTAAAGATAAACTACCACATAAACCACTTTAATAATGTTACAGGAAGGATTGCTTAATGAGAAAAGCTGTACTGTTGCTGATGGGTAACCCACGGACCTCTAAGTCTTTAGTGAATGCTAACAAAAGCGTTTTAATCTTGTATCCCTCATGTTTGTGAATCTGCCGCTCAAAATTTCTTCCTTTACATTTCCATCCTGGTTGACCATTTCCTGATTATCTGAAAATACAGAAAAGGAAAAAAAAAAAAAAAAACTTGGTGGTTCTAATGCCTATCCCAGAAGCTGAGTTTGTGAAGCACTTTCAGGTTCCAATACTTGCTCCAAATTCACCCAGGGTGTTGGGGGAGGGAGGAGGCAAGCCTCACTAAATGCATCCGCCTAAGAAAATATTTTGTTTTTCTGGCTATATAATGTTTCAACAGTACTTGAAAACACAGCTCTAGGATTTTTCTTCAAACTACTTGAATTATTAATTTTCTTGGAATAATGACAGATTACTGATGACTACGTAATGAGCAATTACTAATGGTCTAGTGACAGAGATTCACTTCCAGCAATGCTTTGTAACTGTGGGAATTGGGAAGTTGGTTTGATGTATTTCACTGAAACTTGTAGGAGCACTGAGAGCAAGAATTTGCATGGGAAATCCAAGGCCCCCACCAGCAGCACTCTCAGACCTTATACTTCCGAGAGGTTACTATACCTCTGAGAGTAAGCTGTCTTTTTCCTGAAGTTCAAGAAGTTAATAAAAATTAACCACTGGCGAATAACAGATCAAAACTGGACATTAGAAAAGCCAAGCCTCATCCTTGTTGACAGCAAGCATGAAACCGGATTTCTAATCCGCACAAGCGACAATCACCTATTGATTGCAACGACATCTGTGCTCCTGTTTTTGGAAGCAGGGTTTTCTGCGGAGGCAGGACTGAAAAACCCAACCGTGCTGGTGCCGCAATCAACAGCTGACAGGTCTTTCAAGAAAGAGTCTTGAAATCAACACCTCGGCTCTCTCACTTCTCACCTATGGGTGGACTCAATTAAGTCCTCCCTTTTGCGTTCCAGAGTTAGTCCTTTCCGACGTGCAGTCCCGGAAAGAAGCCTCTCTAGACCTCATGTGACACCCTCTCGCAGACAAAGGGTAAATACTGTCCTAGCCACCAAGCACAACCTCCTGTGTCCTCCCCAGGCCAAAGAAAGCCACCAAGCTGTGACTCAGTTTGGCCGTGGGCCACGGTGAGGACCTCAAAGCTCAGAGCCCTGAACCCCTTTCTTACCAGAGAGCAGATGGAGATGGAGTGGGGGTGGGTAAGGGTTTGCTGGATTGGCCCGGGAGAGAGACCTCTGCATCCTAGCGCACATTTGCTTGGGGCAAGGAGTCCTTGTGACTCAGGACAGTAGCCAGTTGCGAACTGTGGGGCCAAGGCAGGGACCGAATCCCCCGGGGGAGGGGGAGCGTGTGTGTGGGTGGGGGTGGGGGGCGCTTGTGTGGAGGGAAGAGAAAAGGAGTAAAGCCAAGTTGAAAAACTGTCCCTTTCCCCAGCATAGGCTGCTCAGTAGCCCTTCACCAGGGAAAGCTGATTCCCTTCCCGTTCTGCTTCTCAACTTCAACCCCAACTCCCACAAGGCATCTGAGTAGCCTGGATCCCTAAGGAACAGCTCCAGAAGAGGCCACTAGGCAAGGTCTGCCGGGAGAAGGGCCGGTGGAGGAGACACGGGAGAGGGTTAGGGAAGAAGAGCGGACCTGGGAGGGAGAGAGAGCCCTGGCTACCTCTCATGCTTACTTTTTCTCCAGCGCCTTACCCCCTTCCCCTGCCTCCGCTTGGAAGTGGTAAGCTGTCCTGGCATCCTGGAGAGGCAGGCGCCCTCTGGGGCGGGGGTGTGAGCCGCAGGACGGTCCCTGGTTTTAACCCTCAAGCTCTGGAGCAACCCAGGAGACCAATGTGAGGGCATCTGGATTGTGGTCTGCAAATTGTTCCTTCAGGCGCAAAGCGATCAAGCTACAACTCACTCGCGCCCCGCGCCACTCTCATTTCTAACCTGGAAAGGAGTAGTGAGTGGCTTTTATGCCGAGGACCTGATGCGGGCGGGGGTGGGGGAGGGCTGAGATGAGGCGGTGCCTAGTTTTGGATCTTCAGAAAGTATGAACTCAACTCACTGTGTGTGAGGGATACTGGAAGGGGAGAAGAAGGGGAAGGACTAATTCGTAGCCCCAGACAGGAACAAGGGAAACTAGAAAGGAAAGTGGAAGGGATGGAAAGGTAGAACAGAGAAAGAAGAGCAAAGACACGAGCGTCTCTCACTAAGTAAAGGTTCTATGCTCGCCCCTTGCGAGAGTGGAGCGCGCGGCCAAACCCTAACGGAGACAATCAGCTGGAGCCAGCGCACTCACACGGGTTCCCCACTCCTAGTGCACCAGTCAGTCCCTCAAGATCGTGCCTCCAGGGCGTCCCTGTCCCTTATTCATAGTCCCCCCTCGCCCCCCACCCCCACAGCCCATGGACAGCCTCTCCGTGTCCCTCCTCCTCCTTCCCTTTCGGCCACATAGCAGTGTGCAGCCCAGCAGCAGGGACTGTCCTTGGGTCCGGACTCGGGCTCGCCTCTCGCAGGGAGAGGGAGAGGGAGAGAGAGAGAGAGAGAGAGAGAGAGAGAGGCAGGCCCTGTGCCTACCGGGGAATGGGAGTTATCTCTGAGAGTCTTAGGGGCAGTGGGAGAGGAACGCAGCCCAATGGAAGGTGAGCAGAGTTTGCACCCATATTCTCCCCAGTGCCACCTGCCTCGATCACCTCTCTCTCAGGGTCAGGGGCCAGGGATGCGGGAAGGCCCTGAAATGGCTTTTTCCAACTTTCTGTTGAGGGATGTGTGACCGGGAGAGAAGCGCCCCCTCCCCACCCCAAATCTGCGGGGTTGCGGGGAAGAGCTGCGCGCAGATCTCCGGGACAGGCAGGCACTCCTCCGGCTTTTCAAGAGAAGAGTGAAGTTGTGGCCAACCGGAAAGTGAGGGAAACGGGGCCTGGGCACAGGGCCCGGGAAACCCAAAGTCCCCAGCAGTAGTGCGGGAGAGGGTCGCAAAGGCCGCAAACCAGCTGCTTAGGAGGCCCAGAGGGCGGCCTGAGCAGGTGTCTCGCCCCTATCTCCAACGCGCCGCCCCGCAGTCGTCCGTTCGCCCAGGGCTCCCTTGGCCACCGCGGCCTCGGGCGACCAGACTCCTGGCTCCAGGCGCACTCCAGCAGCGGCCTTTTTCTCTGACAAAACAGCCAGAGCCCTCGGTTTCCCTGCCGCGCGTAGCGTGGTCTCCCCTTCGCCTGCAGAACTTTTCTCCGTACTTTTGTGTGTGTGTGTGTGTGTGTGTGTGTGTGTGGATCGCGCTCGTCCTGGAGCCGCGCGGGGCGAAGCACGGGACCCGGCCAGGACTCAGCGCCCGGGAAAGCGCGCAAAGAAACCGTCTCCGCGTCCGGTCCCGCGACGCTCCCCTCGGCCTCCCACCCACAGGAAGGGACGTGTCTGGCCCCGGGACGGCAGTGGGCCTCCTACCCAGGTCAGTGTGTGTGTGTGTCCCCTCATGTTCGCCCCACCGCCCGCCGGTGCGCCCTGCACGTCCAACAGCTGCCGGCGACCACTGGCTGAAGAGAGCTTCCAGCTGCTTCTGCCCACAAAGCACGCGTCTCCCTCTGCTCTCCATCTATCCCGGACCCGCCGCACTCGCGAGAGACGCGCAAAAGAATAAGAAAAAAGAGAAAAAAAAATGAGGGAGCGCGAGCGAGAGATTCAATGCAACTCAGTCAGGAACTGTGAGGAAGCCGCTAGCATTGCTCCTCTCTCCAAAAAAGCGCCCTCCCGCGTCCCTCCAGAACTCCGAGAGAGGCGGCAACACCTTGTCACAACTTTCTTCGCTCAGGCCATCTGCAGCCCCACCTTGCCAACCAGAACTCGGGCGCGGGGGTCTCTCCAGGCTCTCGCCCCCGGGGCTGCGTGCCGCCCCTCCCCCACCTCCCCGTCGGGCCGGACGCGGCACCCTCGGCGCCCGCGGGCTCGCTTACCTCGCATGGTGTGGCCGCTGTCCCGCTCCGCGTAGTCATGAAGCTGTCGCCAGCCCGATCCCCGGAGAGCCCAGAAATCCCGCTCAGCACGCGTGAAGGATGCGGCGGGCGACGACGAGCCGCTCTGCCCAGGAAACCATCCCTCTAGGCGGACGCCGTGGCCGCTGGGTGCCGTTGGCCGCCGCCGCCGCTAGGTTAACAGTTATGCTGTTGGTGGTGACTGTTGGGATGGTTGTTTGTTTGTTTGTTTTCAGCAAGGGCGAACGAAAATGTCCTGGCTGGCTAGCGCCTGGGTTTTGTTTTGCTTGTGTTTTTCTTTCTCTCCAGTGTGCTTGCTTTTTGAAAATGCCAGCGCCTCCGGCTCAGAAGATTTCTTTTGTGAGCACTTGGACTGAGAAGGAGGAGGAGGAGGAGGAGGAAGGGGAGGAGGAGGAGGTGGAGGAGGAGGAGGAGGAGGAGGAGGAAGGGCAGCAGCAGGAGGAGGAGTTGGTGGTTTTGTTAGTTACAAAGAAGAGGGAGAAGGAGCAAGGCGGGGGAAAAAGGAAACAGAAAGAACAGACAGAAAGGCGGTGTGGATGGCAGAGCATGTGCGTTTTCACATGACATCTGTGCCTGTTAGCAGATCCACGACGTGAATTTTCACTGTTCAGTTACGGAGGGGAAGGGAGCGAGAGAGAAAGAGAGCGGGCCGAGATGGAGAGAGCCAGAGCCCAGAAGGGGCTTATACGGGAGGGCGGGTTTGGCCGGGACTTGCAGGCCCCGCCTCCTGTCAGCGCTGCGGCCAATCCGCGCCCGGCAGCGCTCCGAGAGAGGCTGGGCCGGCCGGGGGCGGGCCGCGTGCGCGCGGAGGTCCGGGGAGGAGGAGGGACGGCCCAGCCGGCGGCGGCGGCGGCGGCGGCAGCGGCTGGGGCTGCAGCTGGGAATCCAAGCCGGTGCCGACCGGGCCGAGCCGAGGAGGCCCGAGCCCCCGAGAGAGGCACGCGGCGCCGCGGGCGGCATCCGTGTCCCCACTGCGGCCGCAGGGACGCGGACGTGCGGTTCGGCCCTTCACGGGGCTTTTTGGAGCCGCGAGGGTCGCCCTGGGTCCCTTGTCCGGTCCCTATCTCTGCCTTGCAACCCGTGCGGGCCGCGCAGAGTTAGTTCTGGGTCTGTATACCGTAGCGCGCTGTGCCGAGTCTTTTTTTTTTTTTTTTTTTGTCAAGTCCGCGTTTTTGGCAAGGTGTTTCCGCGGGCGGGACGCTTCCGTTTCAGTGGTGGAATAATGCAAAACCACTTCAGTCACTTTGAACGAAAGTGAAAGGCAGTCCCGTGCCAGTTGCTGTACCGGCACCGCTCCGATGCTCCCTGGCCCTCCACGCCATCCAGAGGCTCCCTGCGCCTCAGGAGTAAAACGGACGCAAACACCAAAACAAAACAAAAACACGCCCAGACCTCCGGCTCTCCCGTGTGTGTGTGTGTGTGCGCGCGCTCCTTTGTCCAGGAGGTGGGTTTCGATCAGCATTCGGAGCCAAGACTGCAGGCTGGCAGCCCAAGGGGGCAGGGTGGTCGCAGTGAGCGCCGGCCCACCTCGCTGTTGGTGGTGTGGTGCTCTCTCTGCAAGGTGCAGGTGCAGGGTTCTAGGGGGAGCGCCCTTGATGAGTAGTTGCTCCTGGAAGACGCTCACCTGTGCAAAGGAGATTGGCAATGAATCCAAGGTAAAGTGAATTGCATCCCTCTGCTCTGGGCCCGCTTACATGTATTTTGATAAGAATCTAACACATTTAACAAAACTGGTCCTTGGTAAGTTTTTCCCTCTCAGGAGACAAAATAAATACATCCTATAGATGATTACGTTTGCTTCCCTCACTGTCGTAGGAATCTTGTTAAATGCTTTGGTTAATTGGCCTCCCTAAAAGACACAGAGGTGAAAAATTTGCCTCATTTACTCAGTCTCAAGCACTGGAAGATGAACTCATTAGCATACTTGTTGGCAGAGCAGGCCTCATCCTCATTTAGGCACCCAAATAATTTGATTTTTACTGGCATTTATTCATGTAATGTCATGTAACACAAAATACAACGCAGAATTGGAGATTAGTTAATTAGATCACTCTAAGTTGCCCAGTAACCCTCTCCCCTCCCCCAGTTAAATAAAAAATGGGCTACTTGCTGAATCTTCTCCAGTTTTAAATCGGTATAGCCTTGCTGTCTGCCCTTCCACCTGCAAGCCCATGTGTATTTTAGGGAAATTTCAGTATTAAGAGTGGAATTTGATGGAGTCCTTAATTAAGTGAAATGAACAAAAGGAGGAAGTTACTGTTCAGAATAGCTATTCCCTTATAAATACCTTTCTCCTAGATTTGTAATTGACACAGTAGTTAATCTTTTAAGATAATATTTAAGGCTCCCTGGTTTTATCATTTTTAATCAAGTAAAATATATTCATCATAACTACATTAAAGCTGCACTAAGTTATGCCTAATTTAGTTGCTTCATTAAAAATTACTGAATATAAAATAGTCAAGAAACAAACTGTGACTCCATCATTTTAATTTTATGTGCTTCAATCACAGACAGGAATATTGAAAATTCCAAAGCCTTTGTAAACATTGCAATTGTTATTGCTGTTGTTACTGTTTTAGATTTCTAATTCCTATTGGAGTGAACAGGATTTTCAAAATTCAAGGATTTTGACTCTTTTAGTGGTCTTATGTTTTAAAACATTTACTGAATTCTGAGGTTCCTTTCTACTGCTATAATATATGTAATCCTTGACAAAGTCAGGGCACCCATGGAAAGTACTTCCCCCATTCAACACAGTTGTAGATGTCCTTTGATTTAAGCATTCAGCAATACATGATTGCATAATTTTGTGAATAACATACTTATTATTCCCTTCTGGACATTTTTGAAAAAAAATTGTTACTTAAAAATGTTGTTATTTCATTTTCAAAATTATATATATATAATGTATATGTTTATAGTGATGCAGAAATATATTATTTATCTCAGAGTGGAATAAACCTGATCCTTGGCTATAGTGTAGAGAGCTGGGTCATTTTGGATCTTCCTAAATTTAAAAAATTGAGTCCTTGAGTGTTTCTAATAACATCCACATGTATTTCTACTGAACGGACATAATGAAAGAAGTCAACAAACTATTTATATATAGTCTTATCATTTTATAATTTATCTGCCAGCAAATATCCTTATTCTATGTCGCATACTGTTAATACAAGGTTCTTGGTAACAGGAAGAACTACGGTTTCGTAATTTTCTTTGAATGGTTATAGAACTCTCTGGCTTCCTATAATCCTGAAACTCTGATTTTGGCTCTGGGCCTGACGGATATTTTAAGTTGACAGTTAAATTTTGATTAACTTAAATAGCATATAGCACTGTACTCAGCCACAGGAACTGATACGATTTCACTTGTATCTGCCTGCTTACCTGCTTCCCTCACATGTAAGCTGTAAGGTCATGGAGCATTAGTGATGTGAAATAACCTCAAGGAAGCCAAGCTTTCATATGAGACACCAGGTAGAGTGATTGTGATCATTTCAATCCTAAAACGCTTGAAGTGAAAAAGGAAGTCATGGCCGGCACTGCGGCTCACTAGGCTAATCCTCCGCCTTGTGGCGCCGGCACACCGGGTTCTAGTCCCGGTCGGGGCGCCGGATTCTGTCCCGGTTGCCCCCCTTCCAGGCCAGCTCTCTGCTGTGGCCAGGGAGTGCAGTGGAGGATGGCCCAAGTGCTTGGGCCCTGCACCCCATGGGAGACCAGGAGAAGCACTTGGCTCCTGCCTTCGGATCAGCGCCGGCCGCAGCGTCCATTGGAAGGTGAACCAACAGCAAAAGGAAGACCTTTCTCTCTGTCTCTCTCTCTCTCTGTCCACTCTGCCTGTAAAAAATAAAATAAAAATTAAAGAAAAAGGAAGTCATGGTTCATTATATTCTGAAGAGGCTAGTCAATATATGGAGAGTATTTTACACAGTTATGATTCTTGGACATTGGCAACACTGATACAATATTATGATAGAAAGACTGGGTGTATTTAGCCCAGTTTACAGGCTGTGTGATCGTGAAAGTTGAGAAAGAGACATAAAACTACCTTTAAATATTGGAGAAGCTGGAAAAAATAGAAGAACTCTTAACAGTTGAACCTATTAAAACTGGTAAGCGTGAAGTACTGAGCTCCCTGTGGCTGAAGGCATCTAAAAAAAGGTTGAATAAAAGTTTCCAGTAAAGATTCTGGAGTGTAGAGATTAAAAAAAAAATTTGAAAGGCAGAGAGACAGAGACAGAGAGAAAAGAGACAGGGAGAGATCCCCTATCCACTTTTTACTTCCCAAGTGCCCACAATAGCTGGGGCTTGGCTAGGCTGAAGGCAGAAGCCAGGAACTCCTGTTCTCCCATGTGGGTGACTCAGGACTCAGCTGCTTGAGCCCACACCTGCTGCCTCTTAAGGCTCCCATTAGCAGGAAGCTGGAGTTGGAAGGAGGGCCAGAACTTGAACGCAGGAACTCCAATACGGAATATGGGGTGTGGTCCTCCCAAGTAGTGTCATAACCATCAGGTCAAATGCCTGGTCCTAGTATAAAAACTTCTATAACAAGTTGAACATTTCCTAGACATATCTCCGAGACTGTTTGAAACTCTTGGTGTATTCAAATACAGGCAGCTACTACTGTCCAGAAGTGATCTGCTTCCTGCCAGAGAGTGAGTGCAGGCTCAGTGAGAGCAGGAGCCAGGGTCTCCCTAGGGCTTGGAAAAGCTTCTAGTACTTTATGCGGGAATTGGAATTATTGGTGGAAAAAATTGCTTCCACTCTTTTGTCTACTGGATGTGAACCAAAAATGAGTTAAGAATTAGATAAAATATATTTTTTCTTAGTTTGTAATGAGTAGGAGGAAGAGAGAGAGAGAGAGAGACTCTAAGTTTTAAATTCTCTTAATTCCAGAAAAAAAATATTGGTTGGGATTTGTTACATAATTGTAAAAGAAAGAAAAACCTAGTTATTTTCATATTTATTACTTTCTTAATTTTATTGCCTGGCAGAGAACCTTCATACTCTTTTTACTTTAAGTTCTGCTTCATTTTAAAGTGTGGATACAGGTTGAAGTTTTCAAATGAAAATGAAAGAACATGTTAAAAATGCTTTATTTAATAAATTGAGACAAGAAAGTGGTAAGGACCAAAACATAAATTAACCCCAATGTGTAAGATGGAGGTTAGTATGGCTAGCTTTAGGAAAAAGACAAAATACAAAAGTATTTTAAAAAGTTTGGAAAGTGAAAAAATGAAATGAAAAGATACATTATTTTGGTGCTAAAATTTTTTTGAAGTCATACACTTTTTTTATATAATATGCATTTTCCATGAACATTGTTAAGATCTCTCCTCTACGTGTCAGGAGAGAAAAGAGCTATCATTGATTTGATTAATCACATGTTCTGTCAGCCTATTTGATTTCTGTTTCTTAAAAGAGCCTAAATGTTATACATTATATTACCACTACCCCTCAACACATTTTTTTCTTTCTTAGACAAAGCAACAAAAGTCTAGAAAGAACTTCTCTGAGATTGCAGATCTAAAAATGCACTGTCCAGGATACAGCCACTAAAATGTACGTTTTATGGCTATAAGAACATTCCTGCTTTTATTTTTCCAGTGCTGAATTCACAAACTCCAGAATCTTGCCTGGTGAATACAATGAAGAATGAATTCATGGATACTGGAATCCTTAGTCACTGCATAATATTCCATACTCACACTCTGTTCGCTAAATGACGTTAAATAAAGAATGATGAATTTTGACTTTTAAAATAAAAGGATACCATGAAAAATTTATGAAACAATGATGGCCTGATTTCTTCCATCATAGAATTTAGGAAAATACTTTTGTAATAAAT